CCCCAAAACCCCAAAACCCCAAAACCCCATGGAGGATTAATCAATTTTATGACTAATTTAATTAAATAATTTCATAACTCCAAAGGCTTTTTTATTTTTATTTGATCGTTCTCCATTAGGATAACAGATACAACTTTTTTCTTAGTTTCTTCATTAGCAGAGACTTAAGGGATTAATGACTGATTTAACCCTCCCCCATACTTTCCAAGAGGGGTTAATTAGTTCTAACTTCCAATACCTCCTTCAAACATTAATCCCATTCCAGACTTAAGATCATTCTTGAATTCTCCAATATACTTAATTCCAATTTCACTTCTCTGTATTTATAAACCTATCCCATCCATCGCTCCATTTAGCCATTCACCAACATACTTTTCTTTCAATTCTGAGAATATATATAAGCCAATACCTTCACTTTAACCCTCTTTGTACTCACCAATGTATAAATCCCCTATCTATTTATTTCCAGCCTAATCTGGGATCGATGCTTACTTCAAATGCATCCCATATCCATGATGAGTATTATCTTAGAAAAATCCAGCATATATGTCTCCATTAGCATACTTGTAAACTCCAAATCCATTTTAATAGTTATCCTAGAACTCTCCTGTATATTCATCCTAATCAGGCCACAAATATCTGCCTTTACCATGATACTTGTCCTTAAAAAATTCTCCTAAATAAAGATTACCTCTATTAACCCCATTAATAATGTAGGATCTCCCCCTTCCATGTTTAAGGTCATTTAAGAAGTTTCCTTCATAAAACTTTTGTTTATTAAAATCGAATAAATACCCATAACCTTCCTTTTGGTCATTTTAATTCACTTAGCCTACATATTTATACTCTTCTGTTTATTTAATCTTTACATTTTCTATTTTGACATCAAGGAGATCTAGCTACAGCTCAGAGAGTAAAGATACAATTTCAGCATAGATTTCTGGGAAATACTCATTGATCAGATTTTGTTTCAATTATTACTTGCTCATACTAAGCTTAAGAGTTTCAAGTTGTTATTTTAGTTCATTAATGCAGTCATGAGATTGTAAATACTTTGATTGAAACTTGGCATCACATTTATTGCATGTTATCATACAATCATGCTTCTCAAATCCCTCAATTTTATGATATTCATTGCAGCTACTACACTAAACTTGTAATGCATTTAAGCCACTAATAAAAACCTCAGGTAACTAACATTGCTTTTCCTCAATATTTTAAGCACATTTTGCGCATTCTGTGGTATTTTTATAATTTTCTTCATTATCTTGATTATTTAAATGCTCATAGCAGTATATGCTTTGGCACAAGTAACATTGAATGCATTTCTAATCCAAAATATATTGACATAAACTGCATTTATACATAGAAAGTAAATATGGATTCAGCTCATTTATAATTTCAAAGCCTTTAATATCGGTTGGCTTAAACCTTAATTTTTCCATTGTTTTAATTTGATATAATAATTAATGTTCTTAATATAAGTTTTATTCATATTTAATACTATTAAATTAATCAATGAAATACAAGTTAATATGCTATTTATATATATAATATCAATTTAATTTTCTGCTAGAATATTGAACGGTCCCACTTTATTTAGGTGAAAATGGGATATTTCGTGAGTTGATTTATCTCTATCTCGGTGATATACATGTTTTGGTTTAACAAACTGATGAATCCCTTGATTTTTTCCGACATGTTTTGCTACTACATCTCTTATCCTAAAAACCACTATTAGGAGAGTATAAGTTCAGTATTCCGTTTTATTTTTGGGCTGATTGTCTCCTATCCGACTTCAAGCATTTAGAAGTCGACTGCATATTTTTCCTCGAAGTTTATGGAGTCTCTATATTTATAATTCTTTCTTCATTCAAATTGATTGGCTTTATGAATCCCCCGGACTTTTGGGTTGAGAGAAGAATCTAATATTGCCTTATTATTTTTGCTTTGAAAGCATTAACTCTAAGAGATTTGAGCACACTTTACTTTAGCTTATTATCCTGGGCAAATAGCTTTTGCTCGCGAAATTTATCAATAAGCCTATTTAAAACATCGTGAGTGTGGCTAAGGTTGTCCTCACATGTTTTAGTCTCATGATTCTAAGCTGAAATTACTAATGGCTTAAGATTCTTTTAAGTGCGAGATTAAGAGGATTTATTAGTCGGGGATGCTGATCTTAAGTTTTAGGAGGATTAAGATTATTTTAGTCTATTTATCAGATCGCACTCTGTGGTCACTCTTTGTATATTTCTGGTAATTGATTTCGCTAGATTCAAGCTTTATTAATAATTTTTCTCAAGTTACTTGGCTTCTAGGTCAAAGGCATTCTAGTTTGCAATTAAGAAACTTTTTTACACTGGGGTTCCACTTTCATTCCTTTGAGATGAGTATTCAAAGACTGAATTGCTTGTATAAGATAATTTTTTATTGGTGTTTTTTATTGCAACTGCATGATAATTTCCACCATCACCTGCACTTCCACCAGCATGTGTTCTGCTATCTTTTCCAGCGGCATTTCTAGACTACTTCTACTTAGAATCTTGCAAGAGCTGTTTAATATAACTCTTATGTTTCTTCAATATGTCCTTTATTCCCATCTCTGAAACTATATTTCATCAGAATTATATTCGTTAAATTACATTTATTGTTAAGATCAACTCTCGGAGTATCATTCGTGTTGCTTTTTTACTATGAGTTAAAGTCAAAGTCTCTTGCTTAGGATGCATACAACTCGCCATTATTTCTAGCAGTCTATGTTCAAGATAGAGTTGTCAAAAGCTCTAAGTTATCTGAAGGATGAATAGTGTTTTAGATCTCTATAATTCTCGCATTCTTGAATTTGCCTTGAGGTGTAACATATTACTCTTCAGAAAGTCCGGGATTCTGATTATGCGATAAGGTGTTTTTAGCTGATGAATTTACTGAGTCCCTTGGAATCTCAAGTTTCTCTAGCTATTTTTAGCTTGAGCTATGACTAATAAATTGTTATTAAATTCAATTTTGAAGTAAGTACTTTTGATGAGTTAACTATTCCACTTTAATTTGCGATGCCATTAAGCTATCTTTTATAATTAATTCTATTTTTCTAAGCAGAATTGCTTATTTTACCACACGGGGTTTTGGGGTTTTGGGGTTTTGGGG